ATATGAGAAAAGGAAAAAAATGGAAACAAGGTCTTTGCAAATAGGGAAGGGTGGAGGGGGTGAAGGGAGGGCAGGGGAAGGGGAAAAAAATAAGAACCAAGATACTCACAATGGTAACAAGATCCCGATAATGAATGTAACTGTATTTTATACCGAAAATGTACCAATAAACTTAATGGAAAAAAAAAAGAGATGGCAGCCATGTAGGAGTTTGTAAGGTAAATCGGCAAAACGCTGTTTAGTGCTAGAGGTTAAGTCTCAGTATATAAAGAAGTTTTATAACTTAAGTAATTTTGTATTTCATTTCTAGTTTTTCTAATGGGAGAATGATCATAGTTACGTATTAGCCAGAAACTTTGAAAACAATGGCTAAGCATAGATAAAAGTATTATGACTTTATTTCAAAGGTTCAGTTTTTAACACCATTTTTTAGCTAGTAAAAGATGTGTTTTTAAATGTTGATTTTGTTGTTGTTTTGTTTTGTTTTTCTTCACAATCTGGTCCAGCATTCCTTTCCAGGATTTTTCAAATCAGTGTTCTAGAAACGATCACAATAAGGATAGCTGTTAGGGAACCCTATGATGCCAGCAGGACTTGCCTCATGTGAAGATAATAGTACCCAGAGCTGTCTTTTTTTAATCGAGAGACTTGTTTACTTCAGAAAACTTAGGAGCTGTTTGTTTGCAGCCAGGAGGACTGTCAGCCCTGCCCAAGCAGACTTTCTTGCTTGAAGCTGAGCAAACAGGACTGGAGTAAGTCTCTCACTATTCATCTCAGCTCGTCTAGTCACCCCAGTTTTTGTGGTTTCAAATACTTCTGTTGGATACCTTTTGTTAGTGGTACTTAATGAAGATGGTATCTGGCAGAGGAAGGTAGCAGACCAACACAAATTACCTGTGGGGACTATCCCAGTTCAGAAATGTTAAAAGAGAAAGTGGTGGTAGATAGGATAGGGCACACATTCATTGGCAGACTACATCTTTTTTGCGCCCACTGTTATTGAAAACTATTCAGTTCATCCAAATTCATAAATTTAACATGCTAGCAATAAAGAATCTAATAATACCAGAGATGTACTTCAACAGTTTCTAAAAGAAAAATGTATTTTTAAAAGTTTCACTTTTTCTTTATACATTGTTTTATAGAGATTAAGTTTACAGATAGATAGCAGTGTCAGTTTATTCCACTGGAGATCTTCTGGGAGACCAAAGATGTGTTTCAAAGGCAAAATTCTTGCTTAGCATGCGCAAGGCCCTGGGTGACATCTGTTCATATTTATGTAAACACTTAACATTTACAAATAAGTTTCAGCAGAAGTATGTTTTGACAAAGTATGGAATTTTAGGAGTCCAATTTCATTTTTTTTTCTCTCTTTTAAATAGGGTCTCTGTGAAGAAAGGAGCTGTCAAAACCTCATGGTCAAAACTTCTTGATAGACCTTCAACTTTCCCTTCAGAGTAAAATGCAGCCATGGTGGATATTGTTATTTGAAGAAACAAAAAGCAAATTTTTAGGGAGGAAAAGGATTTTTTCTTCTGCCATCAATAAAACTATTGTGCTATATATATTAATTTACTGTATGTTTTATTTGCCTAATGTTATCTTTATTATTCATCTTGTATTACCACCATACCAATTGCCATCAACAGAATAGCAGTTACAGCCTACAAGAAAACCTTTCCCAACAATTACAGAATAAACTGACTTACACGGTTTGCCGCATTTCTTCCAAAAAGAACCTAAAGTCAAATAGCAATTTTTAGGATATTAATAGCTGCTAAATATGACAGAAAGAAGTATTGAAAATTGAATATGTTATTTATGGCACTCTTAATAGTTTTTTTCGGGTGAAATTCAACTTCAGAATAGATATTCTCTTCCTTTTAAATGTACATTAGCTCTTTTGGATGGATTTGGTTACAAGTAACAGAAAACTCACCTTCACCTCTTAAACATTAAAGGGAATTTACTGGCTCATTTCATTGCCAGAAATTCAGTACCTTTTAGGATCGGCAGTGACTCATCTTTATCATGAAAGACTGATTCTTTACATCTCTCACTGTTGCTCTCTGGCATCAGCTTCATTCTGTGTCAGGCTGTCCCCTGTTGCCATCAGGTGGCCTGCTACTCTCAGAGCTAGTCATTCTAAGGATAGAGTGAGGCCCATTTAAAGAAAAGCTTTTTCAGGTCACATGTACTTATATTGGGCTTCTGTGCCTTCTTACGAACTAGTAACACCAGCAGGATCTACAGATTATTTCAGTTGTGATCCAAGTACTCCAGTCTTAGAAGTGAGATGATCAGTGGAGCCACAGGGTATTCATCTTGCTAAGAGGAGAGAGAAGTGTTCCTGAAGCAATGAGAATGTCCACTGTAGTGGACCAGTTGTCTGAGCTACAAACTCTTCATTTAATAGACAAAGATAGTCTTCCTATTGTCTCAGTTTTATGAAGGCAGAAATGAACAATTAGAATGAGAAGAAAGGAGGCACAGAGAAGAAGAGAAAAATCTCTGGCTAAAATAATTTTCAGATGTAGTGCTTTGCTTTAAAGGAGAAAGCCTTAGGCATTCTCTCAAGGCCTTCTAATTCTTAAGGGTTTGTTTTTTTCTTTTTTAGCCCACAGTTGCTAGTAGATGAGGGTAGCGATATTTTTGTTTTTATTTTTACTATGTATCATAATCAAATAGGAATGGTGTAGGTCTAGGTGTTAGTTTTTTTTTAAAGATTTACCAGTGATTCTAATATATATCCTAGGTTGCCTATGGTAGTTTTGATAAGTTTGACAGCAAAGTCAGTAAGAAAAGAGGTAGAAGAACTTAAATTGAGTTTAGAGGGTAGTTTAAAGTACAGGTCCTCTACGCTTGTCAAATGGGGACAATAATATGTAATACAATGGTAAGCCTACAGTAGATTGTCAGTAGATGACACTAGTGTTGACTTGTATTTATTATTATTCAGCAGCCCCTGAGAATAATTTGACATGGTTACATGTGCTATATGACTTGAATCAAAGATAACAAGAACAACAAGTGATGAGGCCAGCTTGCTTGTTATACAGATTTTATGTTCTGTTCTTTATTTTTTTAAATGTTTTTAAATTTTAAAATGTTTTTCACTTCTGAGCCGTAAGTATTAGTTTTCAAAAGAAAATCCTCACGGTATGAGGGAAGTTGAATCTTCAAACTTTTACCACTTGAAGAATGGTTAGGATTGCTATTTACTTCCTACCCATAGCCCTACAGAGTAGAAACAACTCATAGCTAATAAAGTAAATTAAGAGTTGACAGCCTCTCAAACATGCCTTAAAGCTCCCTCCTTCTGAGGTAGGATAGAAGAAATGTAGCTAGAAAGGAGACAAGGAAAAATCGTAATTTAAAAATCTTTTTTTTTTAGTGGATGTTTGTAGTATATGATGTTTACATTCATCTTGGGGAATGGTGATATATACATAATACAGTTTGTTTCTTTGTGTAGTCCCCTTCGAACCTACTTCTCTCTTCACCTCTGAATTCCCTTTCTCTATTTTTAGTCTTGTTGTTATTCTTTGCTCATGTTTATGACATATCATGTTTATATTCATTGAGATTATTAGGTTACTATATATGGCATGTATTAATTCTACTTCCTCTTCTCCTTTCCTTTCCTCCTTCGTCTCCCAAACTTATTTACAAGAAAATTATCACCTTGTTTCCTTCTAGCCATCATTTATTATTATATTCTCATTTATTATCCTTAGCCTTATTGATATGAGATACCATACAGTATTTAAACATGTGTGACTGATTTATTTCACACATTATAGTTTCCAGATGCAGCCATTTTCCTACATATGTCTTGAATTTATCCTTTATAGCTTAAGTAGTATCCCATTATGTATAGTTAAAACATTTTCTTTATCCATTCATCTGTTGATAGCTATACCAGCTGCTTCCAGGATTTAAATATTAGGAATTGTGCTGCTATAAACATTGGTATCCATGTATCACTGTAGTATGATGTCTTTTAACTGTTGGGGGAAGATATCCAGAAGGGGAATGGCTGGGTCATATGGAATTTCTAATTTTAGTTCTTTGAGAAATCTCCATACTGATTTCCATACTGGTTTTACTAGTTAACATTCCCATCAACAATGTAGGAGTGTTCCTTTTTCACCACATCCACACCAACGTTTGTTAGCCTTTAACTTCTTGATAATTGCCATTCTTCTTGGTATAAAATGGAATCAGTAGTTTTAATTTGCGTTTTTGTAAAGGCCAGAAATGTTGGATAGTTTTTCATACATTTGTCAGGCAGTTGCACTTCTAAGTGTGTTCATTTCACTTGCTCATTGCTTGATTGGGTCTTTTATTTTAGGTGGTCTATGTTGTTGAGTTCTTTATATATTCTAGATGTTAGTCTTCTGTCCAAGACACAAAAAATTTTTTCCGTTCTGTAGGTTGTTTCTTCATTCTAGTAATTGATTCCTTTGCAGTGCAGAAAGTTCTTAATTTGATGTAATACTATCTGCTGATTTTTGCTGTTGTTTCTTGTGCACTTGAGGTTCTGTTTTTAAAAAAAAAATCCTTTCCTGGCCAGTGATTTAGCTCAGTGGTTCTGCTGCCTGCTTCGCAAGCACAAGGACCTGAGTTCGATCCCCAGCACCGAAAAAAAAAAAATAAGACCAAAAAAAAATCCTTTCCTACACCTGACTTCAAACATTTTTACCTTTGTTTTCCAGTTAGTTCAGTGTTTCTGACTGAATGTTTAGATCTTTGATCCATTTTGATTTTAATTTAGTACATAGTGAGAGATAGGGTCCTGTTTCAATCTTCTGCAAACAGATATCCAATTTTCCTGGTACCATTTGTTCAATAGGCTGCTTTTCCAAAATCATTGCTTTTCACCCTTTTGTCAAAGATCAAATAGCTAAATGTGTCTGGAATATTGCTGTATCCTCTATTCTGTTCCATTGATCCACATGTCTGTTTTTGTGCCCGTACCATGCCATTTTTTATCACTATTGATTTGTAGTATAGCTTGAAGTCTGGTATTGTGATACTTCCTGCTTTGCTTTGTTGCCCAAGATTACTTTTGCTCTTCTGGTTCCATGTGAATTTTAGGGTTGTTTTCTCTAGATAAGTTATTGGTATTTTGATTAGGATTGCATTGCATCTGTATAACAGTTTTGGAAGTATGACCATTTTGACAATATTACTTCTTATCCAGGAAGAGGGGGCATTTTTCCATTTTCTGATGTCTTTAATCTTTTTTTTCAAAGTACTGTGTTTTTCTTTGTATAGGTCTTTTACTTCCCTTGTTAGGTTACTTTCTAAGTATTTAATTTTCCTTGATGGTATCATAAATGGTGTTGTTTTCATAATTTCTTTTTTCATTGAGTTCATTATTGGTACACAAAGACTTGATTTTTATATGTTAATTTTGCATCCTGCTACATTGCTGAAGTTCGTTATTCTGAGAGGTTTTTGGTAGAGTTCTTTGATCTTCTATGTAGAGTATCATGTCATCTGCAAATAATTTGAGTTCTTCCTTTCCTATATATATATCCCTTTTATTCTTTTCTCTTGCCTGATTGCTCTGGCTAATGTTTTGAGTACTATATCAAATAGAAGTGGTGATAGAGAATATCCTTGTGTTGTTCCTGATTTAGAGGGCATGTTTTCAGTTTTTACCCATTTAATATGATGTTAGTCATTTTTGGTCATAGTAGCTTTTATCAAATTCAGATACGGTCCTATACCTATTTTCTTCAGGCTTCTTATCATGAATGGATGTTGGATTTTGTCAAAAGCCTTTTCTGCCTCTATTGATGTTTTTGTGTGATTTTATCTTTCTTCTGTTTATGTGGTGTATTACATTTATTGATTTGCAGATGTTGAACCATTGTATCTCTGGGATGAAGTTTACTTGGTCATGGTTTACTTGGTTTTGATGATGTATTGCATTCTACTTGCTCATATCCTGTTGAGGATTATTGCATCTATGTTTATTAAGAAGATTGGCGTGTAGTTCTCATTTTTAGTTGAGTCTTTATCTAGTTTTGGGACAAGAGTGAGGCTGGTTTGCATAAATGAGTTTAGAAGCACTCATTCCCTTTCAATTTTTTTTGAAGCGTATTGGTTTTGTAGAGTTCAGCAGTGACTCAGTCAGGTCCTGGGCTTTTTCTAGTTGGTAGGATTTTTATTATGTCTCAGATTTCATTGCTTGTTATTTGCTGGTTCAGCATTTTTGTATCTTCTTGGGATAGCTTTGGTAATTTACATGAGTCTAGGAATTGATTTCTTTAAGATTTTCCAACTTGTTGGAATGCGATTTTTCATAGTTACTATCTTCTGGGTTTTAATGGAGTTTGTTTTGAGATTGCCTTTTTTATTTCTAATTGCATTGATGTCTTTTCTCTTTTGGTAAGTTTGGCTAAGGGTCTATCTATTTTGTTTATTTTTTCAAAGAATCACCTCTTCATTTTGTTATTTTTCTTTTTAGTGTTAATTTCATTGATTTCCATGCTAATCTTTGTGACTTCCCTCCTTAATTTCAGTTTGGGCCTGGATTATTGTTGTTTCTCAAGTATGT